CCCTGGATATGTTTGTGGTAAAGACTTGAGCACATGCTGCTCAAATGCATCAAGGTATGGCAGCTTAGTGAGTTACTAAATGAGAGCTGACCCTCCCCCTGGGCACCCGTGCTCTAGCTGGGATGTTACGGGTTAGTGAACTGTGTAAGCTCATGCGCTTGAGTACTTCTGCGGGGTAGGTGGGGATAGTGTGTACTCCACTGTGATACACGCCCGTGTCCTTAGTCATCATTCAGCTGGTTGGTCATCTCATCTAGCACGTTTTCTGTGTTGCAAGAGCACAGCAGTGTGAACTCAGGGAAGCGCCGACCGCTTGCCAGAGCTCAGCCCGAACGCGAGGCTGCAAAACCTTAAAGAGGAATGTGTGAAGCGCCTTAAAGTAATGGCTTTGGTCTGATGGGCCAGGGGTGAGATTGGTCCCTGCTGCTAGCATGTGGATTTGTTTATCCTGCAAGAGCTGCCATGGATGGAATTTTTAGGTCACCGCCTGCTGGTTTTATGCTTTATTATGCAGTAGTAATGTAAAGAAATTTGTTGGGTTTTATGCGTATTTTTTATTTTGTATGGCTCTTAATTTTGTGGCTTGTTTGGGGATGGTGTGATGTAATGGTCATAGACCAGGCCAAGGTAAACAGGCGTTGTTGTATATTAATGTTACATAGGTTGCATGCTAGTGAAGTCAGTGAGGGCTGTGTTTCCAGTTTTGTCCCTTGTACTTCTCCAACCCCTCGCCCCTTTTTAATTTACATGTTTACTGGGGGGGGGAGCACCTCAATATTTCAAGTAGGTGCACAACATCCCTTCACTGAGTTCTGCTGCCACAGCTGGTGGCGTTCAGCATCACAGACCGTTGGGTCAGCAGTGCCTACACATGAGAGGGGTGGGGGGAGGAGACGCTCCAGAGTAGCCCAGCGAGTGCTTGCGGCCAGTGAGTATGGTTTTCCCTTTGTGAGAGCTGCCTTAGCCCAGCCAGCTGTTTTCGTTGTGCAAGGAAATCGGTCAGCATCCTCTAGCAGTGTATTTTGCCTTGGTTTGCTCTATCAGAGATTTCATCCTTGCTCTTGGCCCCCTGCTACAAAGCTATTGACTACAGCTGCACCTCTGCCATGTACCTGCGTGAGCCGTTTGACTGAGTCTGTCCTCAGCCAGTGCCGAAGCAAGTCATCTTGGTGCCTGCTTTCCAGCCTGACAGAGGGCTGAGGTTACTTGTGTCTCAACATTTTATTCCCCCAGCTTTTTTTTTTTTTTTCCTATGATGGCTTTATGTTCTTTGTTTCTCTCACTGGCTGGTGCAGCAGAGGGCTGAGAGAGGCGGAGAGGGCACCAGGAAGCTGAAGCAATGCCTGAAGACTTGCTGGCCTGACTGGTGAGACACAGGCAGATACCAGTGCACTGAAGAGCCATTGCTGTCACTGGAGGACAAGAGGTGCAGCATGGCCCCAGGGGAGATGGCAGAGCTTGGTGTGTGTTACCAGGAGACCTTCCTGGGATTCACCTTGCCCTTGCGGTTAGTTGGGCATTTCTGAAAGCAGCTGGAGATTGCTGCTGGTTTGAACCACAGCCACAGCTCCCTCCAGTCCCTGTGGTCTGTGGCTGGCTGGCTGGCTTACGAGTGGGTGCCAGGAAGGCTTAGACCCAGCTACTTTTTGCTAGAGCAGTTTGTTCTCCTTTCACAGCTCCTGGGCATTTTCTTTCTTAGCTGTTGAGGGTGCTTGGTGACAGCCAGAGTTGACCTTGGCAGTCATGCAGCTTCTGAAGAGTGGCACTTTTATCTAGGGCACTTCGGTTGACCATGAAGAGAAAGCAAGGCAGCTGCAGGACTGATGCTCCTTTTCTGGCAGGGGGTAGGCTGCCTGCCCGGTGTTTATGTGCAGCTTGTTGACTGGAGGTGAAGGTGGGTTGTGCACTGATACAAACTGTTGTGCGTCTGTGGTGTCTCCCACCTGTGCTTGATGGTGACTTAATGCTCTATGCTTGTCCCAGCAACTTCCACCACTTCGAGGCAAGCACTGTAGATGTGCCTCTCTACTGGAATGAGAGCTCTCTTTTTATTAGTTTTTGTCTCTGGGCTTCAGGTGTAAATCAAAAGCAAAACTTTCATGTTTTCCTTTCTGGAAAGGACGGGACTTCATACAGGTTAGTAAACGGAGCATTTATAGGGCTTCTCCATCCAGAGGGTGAAATGGGTGGCACTTGTATCCTCTGCAGGGCAACTTACTGGAAGCTGCCAGAGGATGCTGTTGGAAAGACCATGGCCCTGTGGCTCCTACTGGGGAGCAGTACTTGCAGTGAGAGCAGAGTCAGTGGGCCAGCACTGCAGCATTCCAGGAAGCATTACAAATCCCATGCAGAGACTTCAGTGCCTATGCTGACAACAGTGGCAGAGAGAAATGTACAGCTGCTGCACTCACTAAGGCAAGTATTTACAACCCTAATCTCCAGAGAAGATGTTGCTGTACACTGAGCACGAGCAGGCAGATGATGGGCTATAGCTTATGGGGCACCACTTTCAAGAATTTACTCTGCTTACAGGTACATTCACCTTCCCCACCTTTTGACATCTCTTGGTATTGGACACTGCCACATTTTGTGGGTAAAATGGTATTACACTGAGGTCAGAATAGTGCAAGAAGGAAAGAGTCCCACCCCCACCCCCAGTAGCTTAAGTCAGTGTGTAGTAACAGTCCTATTGATCTACTTTTGATTTTGAAACTGCAAGAATAGGGGACCCCCCACCTCATGTCCATGGGAAGGTTGCTGAAAGCTTGATGCGGCCAAGGTTTGCCAACTTCTGTTACAAAGAATAAATTGCAGACCAGGGTGTTCTGCTGCTTTCGTTCAGAAAAAAAAACACCCATGTGTTTTGGGCAATCTCCTGCCTGCACAGAAAGTGTTTTCCTTTGGTACTCTAAACATACTAATTTTAC